CCTTCTTGCCTCCTCTATTGTGGTTTCATATAATTYCGTGYCCGGGTTGCTGATTAGGTTCCTTTCTGCTATACGTAGGGYTTGCCGAAGTTCCTGTTCCCTAGCTTTCCTTCTGGCTGCTAACTGTCTGGCCACTGCTGACGATGCTTGTGTTAGTGCATTGATTAATTCAGGGAACGACTGTGAGTCGYTGTCGTGSTCCAAGCATACCTGTAGTATGGCCTTTCTTAGCTCTGGAGTTTTTAGTAGGGAATTGTTTATCTTGTAGAAACTTCTGCCTCTCTGGATATGTTTATTTAGGGACAGCTCTAGCGTCACAGGTTTGTGATCTAAACATGTGYAGTGYGRCAGGTCACCTATTTCGATCGAGTGAATAGATCCTATCARCKCTTCTGATACTAGGAAGTAATCTATTCTAGARKYTGACATGTGCTGGCTGCGATTCCTTTTGTAGTAGGTGTATTGTTTCAGGTTTGGGTAGTGGAGGCGGAAGGGGTCAATAAGCCCCTGGCCAATCATGAGTGCGTGAATTKGTAAGGCCTCTTCACTCGGAGGCTCATCCCCTAATCCTGATCTTCCKCCCATTATCCTATCTAAACYTGGGTCAAGAGTGGCATTCCAGTCTCCTGCCAGTATGACATGTCTCGTTGACTCCAAGTGGGATTGTAATGACTGAAGCATTTCTGCTCTACTTTGGTGGGAGTTGTGGCAATAGACTGTGACTAACGAGAATTGTTCCTCCTGATAAGAGAAGTTGAGCTTCACCCATCGACCGTCCTCCTCATTCGTCGAGGCTTCTAACAGAGACAACTTGTTTGCTGCCGCCGACCTCCTATTCAACAGAATTACCACCCCTGCTGAGTGCGGTCTATTTGCCACGGCCCAAAAACTAGCCTTCACCCATCTGAGTTGCTTTTCTATACGTTGCTGTGTCTTTTGATGTGCCGGCGAGTCAGTGAGGTGGGTTTCTTGAAGACATAAAAAGTCTGGGGGGTTCCTCCCGAACCAATCCGTGGCCCTTAATAAATTATTCCATTTATCCTTATTGTCTAAAATTTGTGCCACGCCATTAACGTTCCAAGACACAATTCTGATTTCCGGTTCCCTTTCCCCCTCTCGTGACGATAATCTTCTTCTCTTGGTTCTATCTTCCAACGCTACCCCTGCCATTTATAATATTCCTTGATTATGGTCCGTTAATGAGCATTTCTTCATGAGCCCTCTTGTGGCCACTCCCAGTCTGTCGCCACGGCTGCTAACAACGTGTCCATGCCCTCTGGCGTCCCCGAGAAAACATCTGCCTTGGATAGGATCGCTGCTCCCCTAGCCACCCATTCCGCTGCCTCTGTGCCCCCCAATAGTCCATATGGTATTGCCTCCACCACCTGCCAAGGCATCCATATTAGTCCAGCGAATTTGGGTTCTGTTTCGTCATTTTTTAATTTCTTTCCACTAAGTGCTGCTGGAGGTCAGCCCTGGGAGCTGCGCTAATTTTAGCACTCGGTCTTCTTCTTCGTCGAAGGAAAGTGGGCGGCCATAGCTGGGGTTACGGGACTTTGCAGGTCTGGCCCGGGCATCAGGCCCAGCTCTGTGAGGCGCTTCTACATCGCTGCCCTGTTGGGGTTAATGCAGCTGCCGTCGAAGTAGCTCTCTCTCTGATGCTGTTTTCGAAGTGGCAGGGCATCACCTTCATCGAGTTGCTGTTCTTCTTCATCATCCCGGGAGCTGCGCTCCCCTGCTGTGTGGACACTTTATCCCCAGTGGGCTTTTCGAGTGGTGCAGAGAGGGGCGTTGGACTTAGGAGGGTGTGTGGTGATTGGCAGGCTTGAAGAAGATTCCCAGATACCTCGATGAAATCTTTTAAATAACTAGTCCATGTTGATAACGTGGTTGGGATCAAGTACTCTGAATTGATTGGAGGAGCATAAGGGATTACATAATTGAAATTCGTTTTTCAATTCTCTGTGTATTTTGAGCTTCCACTGTGCATATTTTCTCTCCGGTTTTGTGTGGAATTGCCTCCTTCGAGTCTACTCTGCAATTGGATGCGTGTATGGGAATGTGTGAATTCGTTGTGGATTGAAGTTCAATTGGGTACATAACATCTCTCTCTCTCTCTCTCTCTCTCTCTCTCT